CTGAAGAGTCGTGTTTTGCCACAGCCTGAAGAGGATGCAGTGCAGTTTGCCAATCGAGTGAAGTCAGCCATTGCCAGGCAGGGGGGCCTTGTGGATCTGCTCTGGTGAGTCCAGACAGACTTTTCCCGATGCCAGAGTTTCTTGTTCCTGGGTCCTGGCATGTGCTCATGGGCTGCAGAGCTCTGTGTCTTGCATGAGGCAGAGCAGGCCTGTGGAGGGGCACTCTTCCATTGCAGGGACAAGGGCTTCTGCTCTATGTTAGGCATCAGGGCTTCATTCTGTGATTCCCTGCTTGCAGTGGGATGCCCTGGGTCTGACTCCTTTCTGTTCCGCAAGGTATGTTCAGTTTGGGAGCTTCCTTTCCTAGGCAATGAGGTCTTGGAGCCTGGGAGACAGAGGGCCTCTGCAGGCAGGCAGTCTCCTGTAGTGGTACCAGAGCAGCTCATGCTTCTGGCAGAGCTCATGCTTCATGTTGAGCACGGTGTAGGGCCATGAGGGCAGCTCCTGGCAGAACTGGGTAGGACAGTGACTCCCTTGGGGACAGGTGGTCTCAGTGTGCCCTGGCAGTGTGTGGTACAGGGGCAGCTGCCAGTGGTCACCAGAACTCTGAGCTGCCCTGAGCAGCCCCAGCTGAAGATGGTGCCTGCCTGCAGCCTTTCTGATATGACTCTCTCCCCAGGGATGGAGGACTGAAGAGGGAGAAGGTGAAAGACGCATTCAAGGAGGAGCAACAGAAACTCTACAGCAAAATGATTGTAGGCAGCCATGAAGATCGGAGCCGCTCCTGAGCCCGCTGCCTCCAGCACTGCTACTGGGGCTGGCTGGAGCCCTCTGCCTCCAGCCTGTCTGGAGCAACTCTGAGTCTTTGGACTTGGGCTACTCCAGAGCTGCTTGGACTCGCTCCTTCTTCCTCTGGCTGTTCTTTCCCAGAGGCACTGTTACTACCTGGAGTCTTTAGGCCCTGGGCAGCTCGTGGCAAAGATGCCTTCTCGTTACTGTTACAGTGAAGCCCCTTGCAGGGGCAGTATTAAATGAAACACTTACGGTGTGATGTGCTTCCATCTGATGTGTCCAGCCCTGGGGGAGGACTGGTGTGATGTGTATGTGGGTCAGTCACGAGTCTCCCATGGCACAGAAGCTTGTGAGTTGCACTGAAATTGGCTGCCTTGACAACCAAGGGGCTCCTCATGAGCCTGTGCCTCTCAGGTCTGTGGCATAAACATCTTAGGATCAGAATGTGGTCTCTCAGGTCATTTCCAGATTCTCTTCCAGGAGAAATCTTTCCTTGTTTTCACCACCTTCCTATCATTGCCTGACCCAGACTGTTGCTTCTCCAGCATCTGAGTAACAGCCTCTTTGCTGCTTCTGATGCAAGTGAGGATCATCCTCCTTGGAAGCCTCCTTCTGTCCCCTGGAGCTGCTGGGTGCCAGGTGGAGCTCTTGAGAAATCTGTATGTGCTGTAGTAGGAGCCTAGGGTGGGTAGGAGAGCATGAGACACCATGGCTGGGGCAGGGGAATCCCCTTTCAAATGTCTCCTGAGGAAAACAGTGGGATCTGACTTGTCATGCACCAACATGCACATGGATAATCTCAGCTTGTAAGAAAACTGAAATCTTGTGCCCCTTTTACTTTCAGTTCTGCAGGTAAATTACTCAGTAAAACAATTTGCATTTGAGCATTCATCCCATGACTTTCTAATTTTCCTTACCTTGCCACAAACTTTAGCACTTCCACTGGGTCCTCTGCCTGCTCTTACAGGCAAATGCTGTTTCACTGCTGCCTGCTGAAGCCTGTTTGCATTTTCTAGCGCTCTGGAGAGGGCAATACCTAAGTCCCTCCTTTGTACCTCAAATGTTTGTTGGGGAGGGTATCTGCCATCCCCCAGGTGAGGACAGCTGTTCTGTGTAAATGGCCATAAATTGGAATTTCCCTGCACTTTTTTTTTCCCATTTTCCTGATTGAACTTTGCTGCTCTGGCCCCAAGGCCTGCAAAGCTTTTCCTTTGCTCAAGGGCCATTTGGGCAAAGACCCCTCACCATGCTGTGGTTTGGCCAGCTCTGGAGGGAGCACCACTCCCAGAGAGCCATGAGGTGCCCAGGCAGTGCTGTGCTCACTAGGTCTCCATGTGTTGGGCTGCAGCTGGGGACATGGCCCTGGGCTGGGGATGTAGACATCACTCCCTGCCTGTATCCACTGCCCTGGCAGGGTCTCCAGGCTCTCCTTCACCTCTCCCCAGTCAGCAGCTGCTCCCAAACACTCTTCAGGGCTGTGCTCCCAGATAGACTCCGTCACACACTGCGGGCAGAGGCTCTCCCCAGGGCAGCCCTTCCATGCCCCTCCTGTGCCACTTGTGGGCACTTGGACCCAGCTGCAGGTGCCCACAAGTCTCTTTCCCACAGCTGGGTGCCCTGATATGGTAATATGTAGAGCCCTCCCCAGCTCTGTGGGACCACCGTGCTCAGGGATCATCTGCAGCAGCATCCAGGATGCTCCACAGCAGGCAGGGAGCTGGCTGGACAGGTTAGGAGGCACACATCCATCTTTTCTCAGCTCTCCCACCCCATGCCCCCAGTCAATATGTCTCTCTCCGATGAGAAAGTTAATAAATTTAGCTCTAGATTAAAAGTATTGATCATTTCATTTGTAAGCGATAAATAACCGGCAGGGGAGTGCTGGGCGGCCCACGGGGTATGGGCTGCTGGCTCCAGTTGCAGCAGCCATGCACCCCGCTGGGGCCGGGGGCACTCATATGCATTCTGCCCGGATGCTGGCATTGATTTGCTATTAGTCTCCACGCACCACCCAGTAGCACATCATTCCCAGAGCCGCTATTAATGGGCTTTTGATAAATAATCACTTGTAAGTCAATAAATTTTTATTAAACAGTGTGGCGCTTTGATTTATGAAAAT